ATATCTGAAATTTAAGGCCGAGACCCTGGCATTTTCACGTCACTATTTTTCCATACCTTAACATACATTGAAGTTAGTGCTGTTAGAATGTTAGAATTAATTAATTGCCAAACTACAGTGAATTGAATCTAATGAAACAAACAGATACTTACTGATGGAACAGTATATATTGTTAATAATATTGGAGTTCTTAATTAAAAGAAATTTCATATGCAGACACTGTTGAATCTCTTAAGCCCCTTCAACGCATTATATTTATGCCACAATTAAGGTGTTAATCATAGCATAAATGACAAGGGTGCTACACATGCACCCAGTTCAAGTACAATGAAATGGCAAAGGAGCCATAAAATTAATCCACGTATAATGTAGAATGATTTTATGGCTATTTTGTATGGCACCTTAAATTGAACATTTCGCCAGGCCAACAATCAGCTGATTGTCAGCGCAGGCCAGGGTTTGGATATGGCCCCAATGCAATCCCCACCAGACCAACAATCACCTGATTGCTGGCCCCAGCCCTATGGGCACCCGTCTTTCAACTTGACAGTGAAGAGGAGTCTTGGCTCATAATCCCAGTCTCACTCTGCACTGATCACTGATCCCAGAATCATGTCTTCTGCCATGCGATCGTGGGGTGGAAAAAAGTGCAGTTGTTGGGAATAGGGATCAGATCCTGTGGCACATTTAAATGAACGTCTGCCAGGGACTTTATATATTAAAAGTATGGTATATACTGGATTAACTCTTCCGGTAATAGTACACACTTTGTGAAAGCAGTTTGAATGAAAAATTCTCATGTGCTATAGTTGCTAAAAGGGATTTACTTAGAGTAGTGTGTTTCTATTAGAAATTCTAGTTTATTGGCATCATGCTTTACATTTAGTCCATTTACTAGATCAGTCTAAGCAATGATTTAGTGTCATAAGCGAAGATATGTCACATCTGGACAAAAGCAATAATATTGATTTTTCTTGGCCTTGTCAATTCCAGTTTAAGACTAATTTTGTACCATCGGTGATATTTTATTTTGTCAAGATTTTATTTTGCCTTAATGTGCTCCAGCTATTCAAACATAACCTAATGAGTGCTGAGGATGAAACCACTCTAAACACATATTTGCTAAACACATATACTGCCTATGCCAAAAAACAAAGCAGATGAGAGCAGTTAAAAATTCTGGAGGTGTTGAAAGACGCTCTCAAGGCTTTGTTTCCTTGAGACTGAAAATTTGAACTCATTATTTTATTAGTTAAGTATAAATCAAGAGGATCCATCTAAACTATGAAATTTAATTTGTGATTGTATATGTCTGATAGAAAGCATGCATGCAAGGGAGTTTCCTGTATTATTTTTGTATGTTTACTTTGACCTGGATGTTCATTCCATTTGGTGACCATTAAAAGATTTTATCATTTAGAAGAACAGTCCTGAGACCCCCTTTTCCTGCCCAGTAATTGCAAAAAAGATTTATCTAGTAGGGATAAAGAGATCATAGTAATCATTGTCCTCCCTGTGTAATTTACATTGTAAAACTAAATACAAGTTATTCTTTTACTTTTTGACCTTGGTATTGAACTTATGGGTATTTTAGATGCATATTTTATAAGAACTATTTTAATTTAGCTGTATTCCTAACCGGAAAACTACAGTGTGTATGTATGTATCTGAATAGGAGAGAAAAATACTTAGTCTGCTTAGAGGATTTTTCTTACCATATAGCACAATATGGTTCTCCGGGTTCATAGCAAGGGTTCAAAGAGACACTATATCAAGTCAAATAAAAAGTAATACTAATATTATAATTGAAGACATTTTGGGTCCCACAGATTAATAATTGCTGCATAACTAGGGTGAGTGACCATATGTCCCAGATTGGCCAGGACAGTCCCGGATTTCGGAGGCTGTCTTAGCGTCCTGGCCATTAGAGAAAATTGAAGCAAAAGTTCCAAATTGGCAGGAACCTGCCTGCACAAGTGGGTGGGTTTGCACCAATCCAGGACTTTGGCCTCAATTTTCTCCAAGAAGCCCAGCCGTTGGGGTTGGGGTTGGGGTTGGGGGAGGGGAGGGGAGGGAGGGAGACGGGTGCGTTCTCGTACATACACATTGCACTGCCCCATCCAACCCCGCTCCTGGGAGTTGCGGGGCCAGGGCTATGTGTGTATGCGTGCATGTCCCCTCATCCCAGATTTTTTTTTACCTCATCCCAGATTTCCCTCAAATAATTATGATCACTTTGTGTATAACTGCTAAATATGGCTGTTACTAATGTGTAGTGGTTACAGAGATTCTCTTTTACTCATGCTTTTCTTTTATATTCCACTGTGAATCCATTATCAGCTATCTTGTTCTAGATATAAAGTGAAAGCAATAACAACACATTTGAAAGCACTCCTTTATAAAATAGATCTAATTTCCCCCTGATACACAGCTCTTACACTGGGGGGGGAGGAGGGGGCATGAAAAAGGAAAAGATAATCTATAATGACATAACAAGACAGCTGAGAGGCTAAATGGGATGTCCACCACTACGAAGAAGAGCATCAGAAGACCAGTATGTCATTCACATCACATGTAAATCTTCAAAATGGGGTCTGGAAGATAGGCCCTTCTGTTTCAATGAACATTACCCCAAATTAATAAAATCTTTGATTTTCTTCAATTTATAGCTCTATTTTTTCCAAAGATTGTCCAGTTGTAGAAAAAAGTTGAATTCATTCAGTTGTGGCTTAAGCAAAGCCTGCTGAAGTGAATGGAAAAACTCCGATAAACTTCACCAGGACTCAGAACAGGCCACTTAGCTGTTTCACAAACAGGAAAACTAAAAAAAAAATTTTTTTTAATTACCCTGTTGAGCAGAATTATGTTTTTCCTATTTTGATGCTCTGTGCTGCTGATCTGTGCTACTGCCAGGTAAAGTGAAAAAGACCCCAGCCATAGTTATGTCCAACAAGTAAAGAAGGAAAATAAAAATAGGCCTGATTTGTTCCTCCATTAAGAAAGCCTAAAAGAAAAATCTTTGCAAAGTTCTTCCCAGAGAACCTTGTTTTCCATTGCTCTGCCCCAATAGTGAATTTGCCCTTGATCTAGTTCTAAACCCTATCAATCAAGTGGAAACAAACAGGACCTGTCTTGCCTAAGTTGTCGTTGTGTTGACTGGATATGAACCCTGACTTTTTAATGGTGATCACTGATGTGCAGTAAGTACAAGTATTAATGCAGCTGGAAATTAATTGGAAACCTGGCTTGTTTCAGTCTGGTGAATATAGTTTTATAACTTCTCCAGGATAACTGCTAATGCATCTACAAATGCAACCCTGTTGACAAGCCACTGCTGGCAAGCGTTTCTTTTTTTCATAATAGTCAAAATACCGTTTGGTAATGCAGCTACATTAACCAGTTGAAGGAACCAAACAAAGATAACCTTTAATTACTAGCCATCCTCCTGTTAGATGGATGCATCATTGGTTTAATAATAACTGTCTGGCACTAGTGCCAGTTCTCAAGACCATTATAATTTGCTCTCAAAGGGGAAAGAAAATCTCTCACCAAGGAAAAGAGAAAAGCAACAGTTTACAAAATACTTTCAGAGAAATAAACATACACTAATGATATTTCAGAAGCTCTGCCAAGATTTTAAGCCAAACTGTAAGGAAGACTAGTAAATGAGGTGACCAAAGAAAAAGCTCTTCCGGCAACTCTTAGCTCAGAGCCCTTTACACAGTGTTAATGGGGGGTAGGCCATATTGTTTTAAGCAAGTAATCAGTAAATAAGCAAATGCCTTGTGCTATAAATAGGGCAGCTTTGGAAGACCTTTATCATATGGCTACAAAGTGAATTTCAACTTCCTATCCCACTGTTCTAAGTTACCACATTATTTCATTCAGTCAATCGCTTTCAGAAGATATCTACAATGGAGAATTGTATGTGAAGCACTCAGATATAAAACCATGTCGGCCCAGGACATTTTTGTTTAGCTTTTAAAACAGATACTGCCTCCCCTGAGTATGTTGAGTACTGCTTTGCCCTATTTACTCCGCAGTAATCCATTCTTCAGTCTTCAGAAGTCAAAGACTTTCTTCGTTGCTTTTGTGATTATTTGAAGTACGAATGCAATTTTTACATAATTACATACGGATCTAGATAGGATTAGCTTTACCAGGGTACATGGCCTGTGTCAGCTAAAAGTTTGTGTATCTGGGAGGATGCAGCACTGTAAAGCAGCCCTGACTTCACCAGCAAAACTTGTCTGATTTTGGCTGTGGAAAATGTTCAGAAAGCATTGCTGTCAGACGCACTAAGCCAGTGAGTCTCAACCAGGGTGCTGTGACACCCCGAAGTGTCATGAGAGCCTTTTGAAGGGTACTTGATGGTATCATGCAGTATTAGCACTGTTAGATGTGCAAATACATACACAATTCACAAGATAAACCCCAAGATTTCGAATAGGAATTCATAGCATCAAAAACATTCTGAACCATTGTGGTCTTTCTGAGTTCTTTTCAACGGAAAAATTGCTCTGTTTTTTTCCTATAATCAAAAAGCAAGTGAAATTTAAGAGCTGGCATTTTCTGAGTACCTGGAGTGTAATAATGTTGAAAACTACTGTCCTAGATGGTCTCTGCTGGCAGCATCCCATCCACACATTAAAGCTAACATTTCCCAGTGACATCTCTCAAGAAGAGATGATAGAAATAGTGTCCATGCCACTGGAACTCAGTTCCTTCCAAGGTTGTGACCACCCAAGTCTCTTCCTATATGGTTTTAGACAAGCATTTGGGGAACCTCTGGGGTGGTTACTTCATGAAGATCATCAATAGAGGTGTTAAACATGGTAGTACATTCTGTTATTGTGACCATGTAACAGCCCTGCTGCTTTCATGGAGGGGATTGGACCACATGACCCTGGAGCTTCCTTCCAATCCTATGATTCTATAATTCTTCGAAGTAATGTGTCTAAATATTTACTGGCTGATTGACTGGCTGTTTTTATTTGCAGTGCCAGGTTCACAAGAAGATGATACGTCAGGGGGAAGAATCAGGAAGTTAAGTCTTGGACAGTATGACAATGATGTTCCAGGACAGCTACCAGTTACCAAGTGTGGATGGATGAAGTCTACTGGTATAGACCCAGCTTTAAATCCAGGATCACTAATTGCTGTAGGGGAGACTAAAGAGGTAAACAAGGAGGTATTATTCCAGAACGGTTTTAATGGAATGAGTGGCCAGCATGGAATCCTATATTCAGGAGCAATGTTAGGGTATAAGGAACTAAAATGATACAGGAAAGTTGAGTTGTTTATGTGGTTGCATCATGATCTCTGATAGGCCCTGGATGTTAAAGGAACAGACCAATTGCATGCATCAGACAAAGGCTTAGAGGTTGAATGGCATCCCTCTCTTTTTCTCTGTGTATGGGTGGTAGGTATGTATACATGCACACACATGCCTGCATCTTAAGTGCACAAACATCTACCCATTAGAAAAATGGATCAGATAATATGAAAGCTTGTATAATCTGGTGAAAAATGGCATGCTGCTCAGTAGTGACATGATGAAGTTCATGACAGTTGTTTTACTACTCTATTTCTCTTCCAGAAATGTGTGGCACATTATCAAGAAGGCCTTGATGAGGTTGATTGTGAAATCTTCTCTCCAACCAAAAATGGGAATGAACCTGTCCCACCTACCCCAGCTTTTCCACTATCACCTGAGACACCATATGGTGAGTAAACATCTGCATCATTTATAATGTTTCTAATATGCTGCTTTTAATATCCCAAATTTATAGAACAATGGTTGTTTTTTCTTCTCTTACAGTGAAAACTCCCCCATATTACCATCAAGTGACTCTATCAGGCCAGCAGATCACTAGCCTACCTGAACTGTACAGAAGCAGTCATGGTAAGAGCTGTACAGTATTTCCTTTTTTCATTTAGGGTGACATTCATCTCTGTAGCATAAGTACCAGTTATGGATTACATACACCAGGAGTTAGGTAGTGAATATTGCTTTGCGCAGGTCATCGGCAGAGAGGTCAAGTTCATCCTCCTCAAATAGCTCTGTGCCAGAGCCAGTCGTTAATGATGCATAATTATCATTCTGCCTGCACATCAACAGATAATTTAATAATCTGTCAAAATTGTACTGGCAGAATTTTGGATACAGTTTTTGCAGTTTGTCGGCACTGGCTGAACATGAGGAGAGATAAAGCTGAAGGTGGAAATGATGGTTCTTAAGTCTTCTTAAGCAAATTGAAAAATATTGTTGCAAGCTTTTTTGTCCCTGCACAGTTTAGTAATAGTCGGACATGAAATAAACCATCTTTCCTGTTGCACAGTGGCTTGCAGTAGATGACTATATGAAAGAATTATGGCCAGATTCTCCAGTGTGATCTAACTGTGCATGGTTTGCAGAGCATTTTCTTTGTTGGCCATAGCAGCCTGGTGGTAAGAAACCCTGGCATATGGATCATTTCAGGGGCACAATGCAAAGAGTCCTCCATTATGTTTAACTTGTTTAAAGTTGATTCAGTGCTGTGCCGTCTTCTACCTTAATATGTTTTGACTTCTTTAACTATGAGTTAAGGCCCTACTCAATTTCCAATTTTGCAGTTATTGCTGAAACCACAAAAAATGGTGATTTCCTTAAACACCATGAAGAACAGCGGTTTCCGCAATTTTGTGCAGAATTGCTGGGAAAAGAAACTTACTAAAAATAAAATGCTCTCTCCTCAGTGGGAGCCAGTGGCCACTGCGAGTTGTGGGGAGGAGCCACTGGCATGAAAGGGAGCAGCCAAGATGGCAGCCTCCCCCTCTTCTGTCCACGGCTGATTGGCCAAGAGGGATGCCTTTTGTGCAAACCTGCTGCTCTCTACCAATCCATATTTAGAACCTAATTATTGGGGGGTCGTCTTCTAGTTGGGGTCATCTTATATTCAAGTAATATGGTAATAAAGTTTCTGCTGGCAGAATTTGTTCTTTATTATTGTTATAAATATAATAGATTGGAACTCTACAAAACAATTATTGCACCTGCCGTAAAAGAAATAGAGTCCATCCTCTCTCTGCCTCCAGTGACTCCTTCCAACTTCTGGCTTCCTGATTTGAGCATGTGTCATTTTTTAATTTGGATACTTTACCTTGCAACAAAATGTGGATCAGTTTGTGTTGCACTGGGCCATCAAGAGGGCCCTTTGCAAGGGTGGAAGACAGGCAGCTGGTCCTACATGTGTAGCCCCACAAGAGGCGTAGTGGAGGAAGTTTGTCTCCAGTGACATGGTGTTTTCTAATGCTGACAAATGTTTCATGCTTGGGCCCTGGGAGGACCACATACCTTTGTACTTTCACTACTTGCTTCTAATATTTGTGTAATAAATGTTTAAAAAGTCCAAAAAAACTTTCCTCTGCCCTGCCTCTCCCAACCTCCCTCTTTCTCTGTTACCTTTTTTATGGTCCTACACAGTTAATATATAAAAAGCAAAACTGTTAAGTAAAACAGTGATGTATTTGTGTAGTCACTTTTCAGACTAGAGCCACAGTTTAAGCTGATGTGAAAGGGCCACTGTCCAGTTTGAACTGTATATCAGATTCCCAGTATATAAAATGGTGACAACTCTGTTTACTTTTCCATAAAAATGCATTAACGTCCTCTGAAGGAAGGGGCTGTGTAGCTATGAAGTACTGTAGGCTACCGTTATAATTTAAAGCATAGATCTGAATGAAAAAACCTCTTCAAACACCCTTGACAGGAAAAAAATTTGTGCTAGTTCTTAGCTTTATTTCCTGAGGTTGCCCCAAATAATTTAACAGAAATAATGCAGGATAGTGCTTCTCATTAAGTATCTCCATAGTGTCTGATTTTGTTTCTTTTGCTTTTTCTTGTTGAGAAAAACTTGCTCAAGAGTGTTCAGTCGGTGCACGTAGTGTCTGAGTAGAACTGCAAATTGGTTGCTAATATTTGTATTATAGAGAGTGAGAGGAGGAGATGAATGCAGTGGTTTAAGGAACTGTAGTAGAAGCACATATTTCTTGCAAAGTCTTGTTTGTTAGTTTTAAAGGACCATTATGCAAAAGATCAGACTACTTTTTCATCATGTAGGCCAGAGATGTCTAACTGGCAGTCTGCTGGCCACATGTGGCCTATGAAGGGTTAATATGTTGCCATCGTGTTCCCAGTCACAAACACTCCTCCCATTGCTTCTGTTGCTGGGGGCTCTGAGCTCCCCTTCTCTCTTCCAGCTCTGCTTCCTGCCCCTCTCCTGGGGGCAGGGCAGCATGGTGGGAGGAGGATTGACAAAGGGGGAGTCTGTTGTCTGTGCTCTGCATGCAGAAGTGGTGGGGGAGAGGGAGTAAGCTATCTGTGCGAAGGTGGGGAACCCACAAGTTGAACAGCCCTGATTTAGGCAATATAATTTCACTCAGTATTTCATGCATTGGCTCCAGTAACTTGTGAACTAGAAAGATCTCTTAGAAAGAAATCAGTTTCTTCTTGACATCAGGTTGATGATAGAGAATCCACTATATCCCTGCCAAGATGTTCTGTGATTAATTATTCTTATTGGTAAGTATGTATGCCTTATTTTCCATTTGATTTTATTTCCCTGGTGGGATTTTTCAATTAGCTTCTTGCCCAAGGGGCTTCTGATCAAGCTGAAAAAATTTAAGATTAAGGTTTCCAAACTGGAATGCCCTACCAAAACCCCCAGAACCTGATTCATCTTAATCATACAGTCTTTTCTCAATGGCTCTGCCCCATCTATATCTTTTCTTCACTTCTGTAGCTCCTTAAACGTGCCAGTGTTTCAAAGCAACAGATCTCCTACCTTGGGGCAGCATCCTAATCACACTTTTCCTAACTTGCTTGGTGACACGGCACTTGGTAAAGCTCATTAAATTTCAATAAATTGTTTCCACAGTTAGATGGATTACTGAGTTTCCAGCCAGGGCAGTTTATAAATAGGTCAGTTTTATGTAAATCTCACCAAAAGAAAAGGAGGGTTCAGATAAAGAAAGCACAGATATAGTTTGAGAACTAGTATTTATCTAATAGGATATTCCTGTGCTGAAGAAATAGTGATCTCCTCTGTAGCCCATTCTGAATTTTCATGAAGTCTCTATTATGTTGAAGAACATACAGCTAATTGGAACCTCTTTGTCTAATTTGTTGTTCAAGTTAGAAACAGAGCTGTAGTGAGGTGGGTTTCTTTTCAAAGATTTGGACTCCAGGTCTCCTGTCCTGCCCAGGAACTCCCAGCTTTATACCCTCTTGGGCTCCAAGGCAAGGGCTAGAGCATTGACCTTGCCCTCAACCTTTGCCAAAGAACAAAACACATCTTCTGAAAATAGGGCCATGCAGTTTTCAAGAGATGGATACATTACTACTAGCAGCAGCCACTGAGCACCCAATCCAGGGGTTGGCAATATTTTGAAGCAGGGGCTGTTTTAACAGAGTTTAGCACTGAGCACAGGCCACTTCCAGCCTAGCCCAAGCTGGCATCATTACTGTTCCCCCTTCCTGACCCCCGACAGCAGGGGTGGGCAATAATTTCAGCTGGCAGTCCACTGAACGAGTTTTGGTGAGGGCTGCACACACAAAATCTTTAGATATTTAACAAATTATAGATAAAAAATAAACCATATACTAAAAATCAAGCATCTACTATAACATATTTTAATTCTATTTCAAAAAATAATTTTTGTCCTGATTTATGGTTTTTTTGAGTAGTGTATATAGAGGAGATTGCATAATAGCTCAAAATAAAGTCTTACTCTTGTATATTGGGGGGAGGTGAGGTGGGTTGGGCTGTGGTGTTTGTGGGGGTCTGCCCACACACGAGGTTCTTGGATCCAGAGTGGGGTGGGAGGAACGGGAGAGGGAAAGAAGTGGGGGTAGAGGATGTGGGCATCAGAGCTTGCCTGGGCAGTGTGGTGCAGGTGCAGTCCACCTCTCCCTCATCTGGCCCACAGCAGCTTCTGCAGCACTGGGCATGGGGCCAAGGCCTGCCTGCTCCTGCCCAACTCCCACTTGCACCTGCCTCTGCCCCACACCCACCGATGGCACCACTCTGACCCAGTTCCAGCCCTGGTCAGCGCTCATCATGCCAGGTGGGTGGAGTGGGTGGAAGGTGGCTGGGAGCTAGAGCTGGAGCTCCATACACTGTGGCAGGAGCCACCCAGCCACTGCTTCCCTGTGCAACCTGCTGTCCAGAGCAGCACAGCAGGGGCAGGAGGAAGAGGAGCCGCTGGAGGCAGGGGGCAATGAGCAGTACCCAGATGGCTGCTACGGCAGCAAAAGCAGCCCTGCCAGGAAGCTGTGCACTCTGGGTGGGGTCATGGCGGTGCCGTTGGCAGGCATGGGGTGGGTGCCAGCGGAAGTACAGCATAGGTTGCCCTGAGTGAGAGCAGGTAGGGCTCAGCCCCATGCAGAGCACCATGGAGGCAGCTGCGGGCTGGATTCGATCCATGGGCCAGATTTTGCCCACCCTTGCCCTAGTTTCACTCCTCCCCACTGTGCAGAATTCATAGGCTGGATAAAATGGCTGTGCAATCTATAGGTTGCCATCCCTTTCTCTAAAGTAGGCGCGGGCAAGATGCAGCCCGCAAACTGGATGTGGCCCGCCAGGCCATACTATCCGGCCCACAGGGCCCCTAAAAAATTTAGAAAATTAATATTTATCTGCCCCGGCTGCCTGTCATGTGGCCCCCGATGGCTTGCCAAAACTCAGTAAGCAGCCCTCCTCCTGAAATAATTGCCCACCCCTGCTCTAAAAGAAAGGAAATTTGTCCAGCTGCTCTTTGTCCTAACAGGGGTGGGAAAAGGCAAATGTAATGTTGCTAGGTATGTGAATACCAGTGTAAATGAATCTTTGTTTAACTTGTTATAATTACAACAGGTTAAACGAT